CCAAAATCTCATCGGCAGCGGGTCGTGTCTCAGATATAAGATGTGTGGCCATTTTTGACCACTGATCGGTCATAAAGTCGGCGGGTATGGATTTCGTTTGCAACAGCTCTCGCTCCTTATCGAGTATGCTCGTCACGCAGAGGCGCACGTTATGCAGATTTTTGCCATTTCCATAGATAAGCAGCACATCCAGCGTGACCAGCAGCGATTGCTGATAGTTGGCCACGTTTATAATTGCATTGCTCAGCTGCAGCAGCTCTGCGAATATGGCGAACCTGCACAGCCCAAAAGCCATAAGGAAATAAATGCATACAAAAATCGCATATGCTTACCAAATGGCATTAAAGCTAGTTTCCTGTTTGTCAATTAGTTTGATTATGACTTCCAATTTATCGACCCTGGGACGTTTACTGGGCACCTCGGCCCCATTTTCAGCGCTTCTCGGCTCAATATGCCACTGAACCTGCAAGAATTATTGTATTACTAGCGCATCTAGATATTTTTCTCGTTCGTCTTACTATAAAAACGACCAGAGCAGCCATTTGAATAAATTTATCAGAAAATTTATCAGTGTTTAGTACTGAGGCTTTGCCGCGGCCCATGCAGTTCTTTCTTATCTCCATATTTACAATGGTGCGCAATTGTTGCATAGTTTGCGGCCAGTCCTCGTTGAGTGGCACTTGGAATGTACCAAAGTCGTGTCGATTCAACTTCGGATATAGCGTCTGCAGCGACAATATGACACACTTAAAGAATATCCTTTTGGTGTCATCGCGGAATGCGTCGTCGTTGTGAAAATCACAAAGTTTTGGTATTATTTCCTGCATGTGCATGCATAGCTTATGATGATAGTTGACCGACAGCTGGCAATGATTAGGAATAGGCTATTAGCAAAGATTGCGCCGGAAGCAGATACGCTTAACACTTGCCTCGGCCACAAATATTTGATACAGGCGCACAATTTCCGTTTTTCTTTCCGCGCTGCTGGCCGTTTGCGTATAGCTGCTCAGCGTGGGCAGATAGTCCACTAGATCGGCATGCAGCTGCACACGCTGCTGAGCCAGTTGCAGTGTCTTGGTTATACATTTTAATATCTTGGAGCGTAGGAACTCGTCCTTATCAACATTCAGTTCAAACAGATAAGACAGAATGCCTGGCAAATATAATAATATTGGTTATTGTTGAAGGTTTTTAGCAAACAAGCGCAACATTATAACTTACGACTATATTCGCTGACTTTTAACTGGGCAATGTAGCTTTGCGATAGGAAGATGCCTCTGTCCAGCATATTAATGAAATGATCCCCAAAATGCCTGACCACAATGCGCTGCTTGATGCCCTCTTCGAAGGCATTGAATATGGTTGACTTGACCAGGAAGTGCCCGTTGCCGCCTCGGCCCACTGCAAATATGGACAATTGGCTTAATGTCTAACTATGTCATGTCGCATGTTTTCATACTCTCCAAATTGTAGTCAATGATCTTGTCCATTACATTGCCGTATAGATAACATTTATCCAACAACGTCTTTCGCGACTTTTCGTTGGCATCTTGCAAGTTGGCAGCGTGCTGATTTTTTGTATAAAAGGACATATAAGCAATATATATGTGCTTAATATAGAATGAACATACTTTGAATATTGACTCCTTGGCGGCGTCAAAGATGGTCTGCCAGGACAATTCCTGGCATTTGCCTAGCGCCGCGTTTACGGCATCTCTGGAGCTGTTCAGCTTTTGGTCCAACTGCTCCACTGCCTTATTGCGAGTGGTTGGCTTGTCGGCGCGTAGATCCGTGATAATGCGTTGTATTTCATTTAAGAGAGGATTCATATTGCAGACCTTTCATGCACGTTCGACACTACTTTCAAAAAATAATGGAAACTTTCAAGTCGATGTCATTTTCGTGCCCAAATCACAGCGGGCTGTGTAGTGTGACCGGATACGTTAATCGAAAAAATACATAATATCGATAGGTGTGAATCAGGCAAAGGGCATCTTTAACAACAATAAATGTCTTAAGAAAACAAAAAACTAATTTGTATATGTGTAAGATAAGCAAAAGAGAAGACAAACTTCAAAAAGGCGTAGCTTAAGCAGATTTTAATGTAATTCGCACTTAATAATCGATTAACAGACCTTCGACTAATATAAGATATCGATTATCAGTATAACAATCGATAGGCAGAAAAAGTCCGCCACAAATGACCGGCGTCTGGGCAACAAATGTGTTGAAATGACGATCGGGGTTTTTAAATCTGTGCGCGAAGTAAGCAGCGAGGATTCGGTAAGTTTATACAATATAAAAGCTTCAATTAGCTGACAAACTATCCTCTACATTTTAGGTGCATGTGGCTGCAAATCTCTTGAAGGAAAATGCCGCCAAAAAATGGAAGACACAAACGAACGGTGAGAAATCGGCGCATGTTATATTGGAATTTGAGGAGCCGCAGCAAATAACCGGAATTGACATTGGCAATGAACATGCCGCATTTATTGAGGTGCTGGTCAGCAAAACAGGCTGCCAGCCCGACGACTTTAAGGAATTGCTGCTCTCCAGCTCATTTATGACGCCCATCGAGAGCAAGAACTCGGGCAACACGAATCGCGTGCGCTGCTTCAACAGCGAAGCGTTGATTCCCACAACGCTGCTTGAGAAATGGAAGCTGGTGAAGATTGTGTGCACGCAGCCGTTCAATAAGCATGTCCAGTACGGCTTGTCCTTTGTCAAGGTGCATGTAGCCGCCGCTGCGGCTGCTGTGAAGCCAAAATCATTGGTGCCCGATAAGTTTAAATTGACGCCAAGCACTGGCAAGGGCCTCGCTGCACTGGGCCAATTCAAGCTGCGCGAGGAGTCACCCGATTCGGAACCGGATGGCAAAGCCGCGCTGTCACTCTTTCAGCGCTGGAAGGCCACACGCAATGATGATGGCCATGCGCCGGCCATCAGCACGGCAGCGGCCATAAGAGATGCCGCCTCGCCGGCAGCATTGCGCCGTTTGAGCGATACGCGGCCGGCGCCTATTAAATTACAAGCATCACCTGCCGCCACTGACAGCTCCGACAAGGCGGAAACCAAGCTCTTGGATCGCAATCGAAATTCGCTTATGTTTGGTGATGATGACCCGGATGGGGATGACGCTGCAGCAGCCAATCCTGAAGCTGTCATTGATGCCAAAATGCAGCGCTTGATGAAACATATTGAGGCCAACAAAAACAGGCGGCGCATGGAACTGGAGGAGCTGGAAAAGAAAAGGGACAACAAAAAGCGAGCATCCATCGATAAAACAGCAGCCGCGCCCAAGGAGAGCACCAAACCGACTGCTGCGCCCAAAGATAGTCCTAAGCCCGCTGCTGCACAGCCCCAGAAGCGACTATCTTCATCCATGGATGACAGCAGCAAACCAGCCAAAAAGCTAAAGACCCATGTCGAGCAGCATGTGCAATATGTGCCCTTTAATCAGCTGCTGCGTGGCGTTGTCCTGGTCATCAGTGGCATACAGGTGGGTGGTCATCCAAATAATTATTGAATCCCCCCTTAAATACATTCATCTTTTCATACAGAATCCAGATCGTGCGGATCTGCGCTCCAAAGCTTTAGCGCTGGGCGCCAAGTACAAAGCTGACTGGGAATCCGGCTGCACGCATCTTATGTACGCATTTGTCCCATATAAATTTGTATACAAGTGAACTAAAAATGTTTGTTTATTCCTTTTCAGCTGTGCCTTTCGAAATACGCCCAAATACAATCAAGTCAAGGGCAAGGGCAAAATTGTAACGCGTCAGTGGATTGAAAAGTGTTATACGCTGAAAAAGTATTTGCCCTGGCGTCGATATGCTCTCGATACAACCGAATCGGCTCAGCCGGAGAGCGATGTGGAGCTTTACGATGAATCACTAAAGCCCACTGCGGATGATGATGACAGGGATGTGGAGATGGTAGCTGCCATTAGTAACCGGCCAATTGATGTTGATGATGTTGATAACAGCTTCGAGGGCACAGCGCACCAGGTGCATTCGTCTGGCCCCGACACTGAGGACGAACTGGAACGTGTTGCACAAAGTAAGTTGCAAATGTGTAATTTTATTGCTAGCTTATTAATTATATGTTTTAACGCACAGAAAATAAATTGAGGAAAACAAGTGATACGCCTCATAATAACAGCAAAAACCAACTCAACGATTCGAATCAAAGGAAAGTCTCGAAATCTTGGATGTTTACGAAGTTAGCACCGACGAGGAGGATTATCTGCAGGAGAAGCGAATGGAGTTGTAGTTATTGAAAATGTCAAGTATTGTGTTTTTAAATTGTCTGTACAGTTAAGTTAAAATTGATATATATTACATTAGTAAAGTGATATACATACATATGTAATATTAATTCATGATTTAAATAATTTTGTTGGTAATTTTCAAATAATTCGGAATACGCGCCTTGGCAGTGTTAGTAAATACTGCGTAATACCCGCGCGTGGTCACCCTAACGCATCTTACAGTTACTATTAATATCCCTAAAAGCGCACAATAATCCTTTGAACTCGTGTTATTTTTAGATTATGTGAGGGGAAAAGTCGATTTTTTTTTTCCTGAATGTGAGCTCAGTAGTATTTGGTATTTTAATATAAATCGATCAGCGTTAATTCTTAATAGCTTGTGTTTATCTTTTAACAGTGTTATTTATTATTTTTTATCAGAAATTTAAAAATAGTGTACAAATTGTTGAAAATTGTGCCAACTTTTGAAAAACACGAGAAAAAGAAAATGTACATTATAATTGTACCAATGTATTAAATATTGTGTTTTCCTTTTTTTTTGAGCTACAAATAATTGATTAAATCTTTAATAATAATGCTTTATTTATTTTTGATAATGAGTAGCATATTACAAAAAAAAACTTTTTTCTGTGGTATTAAAGTACTTTTTCTGGTCACAGACGTGTACTACAGGTGGCAGCTAGAAATGCACTAAAAAATACCGAATACCTTTTAACACTGGCTTGCAAATTCACAATAGATTGCATTAGCTGCTATACTCACATTCAAAGGCCTGGACCCAATTCTGCACCCAAGGATATCCTAAAGGACACATACAATCCAAAATATACATACAGAGCGTTTCCATAGAAATCGCTGAAGTTGTTCGCCAGCAAGCTGAGAGCCAACCGAGACTTGAACGCGCAGAGAGCGTATCCACAATCCCACTGCGTATACATATTTTGCTGTTTGTTTATTTACGGTACGGTAATATATAAATATTAATTTAATCATATTAATTTATTGTGAGCATGCATGTGTGCAAATTGAGATCAACCGCAGCTGAGCTTAACGCAAAAATATAATAATTAAAAATAGGATTTGCGCTGTGTATTGGCAGAAAACACTTGAAATACGGGGAAAAATCGATATGACGCATTAAAAATAAAGTGTTGATTGTTGTTGTTTTGCTTGCAGGATGTGCGCCTAAGGATAACGGTAAATTGGTAACAGTAACAGCAAGACACCGTTAGGTGAGTAAAGTGCTGCCAAAGCCCAGAAAAAACATGTGATAAAAAAAAAACGAACTTAAACAAATTGAATTTATTATTTTTAGATAAATTTTAGCAGAAAAAAGAAGGGTCATACGAAAAAAACAGAGCATATATAGAGAAGAAGCAGAGCTAAACATTTCGACATGGGTAACGAAACATCGCTGCCAATGGACATGTGCTCCAATTTCGATGCAGATGAGATCCGTCGTTTGGGCAAACGTTTCCGTAAACTCGATCTGGACAATTCGGGGGCACTGAGCATAGATGAGTTTATGTCGCTGCCGGAACTGCAACAGAATCCGCTCGTTCAGCGCGTCATCGATATATTCGATGCGGATGGCAATGGTGAGGTCGATTTCAAGGAATTCATCCAGGGCGTCTCACAGTTCAGTGTGCGCGGCGATAAGCTATCGAAATTGCGTTTCGCATTCCGCATCTACGATATGGACAATGATGGTTACATATCGAACGGTGAGCTATTTCAGGTGCTCAAAATGATGGTTGGCAACAATTTGAAGGATACGCAACTGCAGCAGATTGTCGACAAGACAATCTGTTTTGCCGACAAGGATGAGGATGGCAAAATATCATTCGATGAGTTCTGTTCCGTCGTCGGCAATACGGATATACATAAGAAAATGGTTGTCGATGTTTAAATCTAAGCGGCCAATAGATACACACACACACACACACACACACACACACACACACACACACACACACACACACGCATATACATATACATATGTTAGGCATGTATCGACTAACGGTATACCTACATAGAAGTCAAACATTTTTTTTCCCAATTCCAAATGCGTTGACATTTGAAACAAATGCTATGCATAAGTGCGTACGCATGTAATTATTTAAGTGCGTGCTAAATGGCACAACAACAACTAACTAAAAATACAAGTAACTACTTAAAAAATGATATGAAAACATAACTTAACTTCAAATGAAAAGTAAACCAAAGAAACGAATCAAAGTAAAGCAACTATGAAAACTCGAATTTTATAACATTAAATACCCCTCTAGAGCGTGTGAACCAACAGCATGCACGAATAGGTATTGGATTTGTTAGCTAACAAATCTATGCCACATCCAAATCTAACCTCTGACCCACCCCCCCCCCCCTCCCCTCCCCTTCCCCTACCCCCTCGCTCCCAACATGCGCCCCTTTTCCACTGACACTTTCTGTCTCTGTGTGTCTTATATCATAGCAAAGAATGGAGCACTAGCTATATGTTTTGTGCCAGGGCTCAATTATCGGAAATTTTAACTGATTTATTGTAAGAAGAAGAAGGCATGCTCGAAGGCCGAAGTTCTATTATCTATAGCATTTATTGTATTTGTATGGTACTACGTCTATTCTGTTTGATTTTTTTTTAATATATATTCTATTCAAGTTTTTGAAACTAATTAAATGTTGTGTATTAAGTATGAATGTACAAAATTCTTGAATATTGTTCAATTAAAATACAACTGTAAAGTAATTAAAAAAAATTAAACCCTTCTCTATCTGATTAAGCCTCCCGCCCTTACTCTCTTTTGCATTTGAGCTAGCTTTCAATTATGGTCTAAGTGCGACTCACCCAACCCCCAAATCCCAACCCTAACCTCAGCCCTAGACATGGGACATATACATAATTACTATAACCATGTGAAGTATCTGCTGGGAAATAGTTGCCGACTGCCGATTGCCGATTGCCGAATGACGAATGACGAATGACGAGTGTCGAAGCCGAGTCCGAAAACGAACCGAAGCCGAAACTGAGCTCGTTGCCGTGGCCGAGACCGAGGCCGAGGCCGAAGGCCAACTCGAACCTGAATTGTGCTCACACCCTTTGGCAACGATTAACCGACTTTGTAGGTCATACAATTTTTTCTCTCGCCCTCTTCACGAGTGTGTGTGTGTGTGTGTGTGCTAGCGATGTGTGTGCAGCAAGATTTAAAAGACACGACCAGCGCGTGACAGTCGAGAGCTTAAAGCACATTTTGCTAAAACTTATTGCGAATGATAAGCGCCGTCATTTTAGCATTGGAATTGGTTGGCATTTCCACGGGCTTTAAATTCCTTTCATACTCTTAGGTCTCATGTTGGGGCAGAAATTTGAGCTATTCTTTGAGGCGTTTAAATATGCTTATTAACTCACATATAATGTACATGTGTAGCTTCTGTCTTAAAAACTATGAAAAGCTAATTTAAAATTGTTGTTTCATATTTTAAATTGTTGCATGAAGAAATGTATTTTACTAGAAATATTTGTAGTTTAGGCTCAAGGAAATCTATGAAAACTGACTATGGAATGTCGCTGATCTTCATTTATGGTCAGCTTAGGATAGTTCTAAGAATAACATAGCTACAAATACACATTTTTGTAGGTCTGGCTCGCTAAAAATTAGTTCAAGCATATTATTGAGCTTAATATTTGAACAAGCCTTTCTAAAAACATGTTTTTTAGAAATCAAAAATTTCCAGCACAAGGATTATTAGAGCATTTGTAGGCTATATATCTACGATAAGTTATTGTAGAGCTTAACAGTGGACTTGCCAACCAGTTTGTATCAACAAAAATACTTACTAGTTAGTTAGTTCTTCAAGAGCATAGTTTTCTTATCGCGAGCATGTCCAGTTTTTCGTATGTTAGTTGAAGCTTTGTAGGTTATGTACGTGCTTTCGATATTCGTGCCGATACTTGCGGCTGTGCCGATGATGCTGAGCACACGAGCTCAGCTCTAGTTACAGCTCATGCGTGTGTGGACTGTGTGACCGTTTAACCGAATGTATAGAATACATTTTGCCCGCTAAAGCTCTGACAACACCCACAATATACCTATGGAATGTTTGATATCAATAAATTATTATCTGTTGTCTGTCGCTGGGCCGTTGAAGTTGACTCGTAAATCATATGCGTCCGGGGGGTGGGGGGGGGGGGGGGTGGTGGGTGGCAGGCTCTGTGGACTCTAACATTTTCGAAAATTACACAGTCCACCTTCGTGCGCGCGCGTCTAGTCGGTGGCATCGCTGACCTTTTTCATATTAATTGGATTGATTAATGTGCTCCAATTTTTGGAATGTACGTAACCCCGCTCCCCGTTGCCCCCATCCCCATTTGTCCATTTGCAGCTCCTCCTGACTCTTCTGTCATCTGTTTGATCATTAATCCTTGCGACTGGGGCTTAACTATTTATACGCCCCCAACTTGTGTCTGCCTTCAGCTAACTTGACTCCTTTACCAACTAAATGCCAGCCATTTTGGAGCTGTTCGACTAAAAGGCAGCCCGATACGCAATTGCCTATACTATATAGAACGTTGTTGTAACGCCCATTAATTATATTCATTCAACTTTGTCGATTAATTTGCTTTTGCACTGCATTTGCATAGTCTCGAGTAGTTCGATAGCATTTTCGAGTTAACTAACTAGTTTTACAGGGTTACAAATGGAACTTAAGAACTGTTTGTGTGTTATTATAGCCTAGGATTTAAGGGGAATTACCTGTTCCAAAAAAAAAAGAAGATAAATATATTGTCTGGCTCCTTTTGTTGCAGTTCCTTTCTGACTAAAGAAAAAGACGTCTGAAGAGAATCGTTTACGTTGATAATATATGCTATATCATAAACATAAACATATATACATATGATATATACACATATATACATTATATTTAACTATAAATATGAACAAGTTATTAAGGTACTTCCCTCTTTGTATTTATCTGCAACTTTAGCTTTATTTTCTTTCTCAAGCATTGTACGTAACAGGGCTTCAAGCTCAGGAAGAAATGTCGCTGGTTCGATTCATGGTTCGAGCCAGCTCTTTACCTTTAAATTCAGTTCATGAACTTGTAGATACTTTGGTGTTGCAACTCGCTCGAAAGTCTTGGCCTTTGAATCAAATTCTTGTTGAAGACAAACTTTAGTTCGGTTCAGGTACTGGTTCGTATTTGGAGCAACTGGTTCGGTTTAAGGGTAGGTTTTTAGTTCCGGTTCGCAAACTTGGTACTTATAGCCAAGAGTGTGTATGTGTATGTATTCGAAAAATGATTGTTTTGGTGGCTTGCAACTGAATCAGTTCCAGGTTCGCAATGAAAATAAATCTTTTATTTGAAGCTTCAACTAGCAGAATAGAGCTAAGAACTTCCACGTGAGATGGTTTTAAATTTGTAAACTGTACCGCAACTTGTTTAAATTGAACTGAAATTCAGCTGCTCGTAAAAGGGCTTGGGTCAGTTTGGCAGTAACCAAAAAGAAAAAAAAAAACAAAAATAACAGAAAAAACAAAAACCGAATCGTTCAACTGGAATGCATCTGATTGGCAAAGGGTTCAAATTGGGTGAGTGGGCGAAATAAAACATTTTTTTCTCTCGCTGACCCTCAAAGTATGCTTTACATATTTCTGTGGAATTGATTCGACTGACTGCAAGTGAAATTCGGGGCATGGGTGATTTTGGGTTGGATGATTCGATATTTATAAAAAGTTGTTGCGGGAATGGAGGGACAAAACAACAACAATAAAAGAATAAATAAAAAATTATTTCAGGAGCGAGCCTGGAAATTGCATTAATATAAAAATGTTTCAGTCAATGCAATTATTTGCAGGTATTATTCATAAGGCTCGAAATGATCCATCAACTCTACTTTGAGTGCAGTACAAAAATGTTATCGAGACTGGAGCTCGGATTCGAAGCTTTATGCGAGCCAAGAGCTTCAATATGAATCTGTTTAAAATGTTCGCAAATACCTTTTTAATTTTTCCTTTCACTTTTCAGGCTATGATGAATGAAGTATTGAGAAAATGCTTGACATTTTTGTTGCATATATTTATTAAAAATGAAATATGTTTGTTGCACAAAATGAAATATATTTGCAAATGAACTCAAAAAGAAAATTCTTAACATTTTTGTTGTATATGTTTTATAAAAAATTAAATATATTTTCAAAATAAAATCAAAGAGAAAAATCGTAACAATTAATAAATATGAAACATATTTGCAAATGAACACAAAGGGAAAATTCTTAACAAATTTGACGTATAAATAAATATAAAGTATAAAAATGAATCATATTTGCAAATGAACTCAAAGATAAAATTCTTTACATTTTTGTTGCATATAATTAATAAAAATTAAATATATTTGCAAAATGAACTCAAACAGAAAATTCGTCACATTTTTTCAAAATACATTTAAAAAATATGAAATATATTTGCAAAATTAAATCAAAGAGAAAAATCGTAACAATTAATAAATATGAAACATATTTGCAAATGAACTCAAAGGCAAATTTCTTAATAAATTTGACGTATAAAATATAAAACAAGTAAGAGGTTCTAGTCGGGAGCTCCCGACTCGGGGATACCCTGAACCCTCTTCTTCCAACAGGCGATAGGTATAAAATGAAAGATACTTGATATATATACTATTCTGGAAGCTACATCTCAAGTTTGGTGACTCAAGCTCTTATTATTTACCGAAATTGCTAAAAAAAAACAGGATTTCGATATCGATTTTTATCGATTACTTGGAAACGGGGCAAGTTGTCGATTATCTGAAACAAACTTGATCTGCGCGGGGACTAGGAGGATCTACAGCTAAAATTTCAAGTCTCTAGCTCTTATAGGTTCTAAGATCCTTGCGTTCATACATACGGACAGACAGACGGACAGACGGACGTGGCTAGATCGACTCGGCTATTGATGCTGGTCAAGAATATATATACTTTATGGGGTCGGAGATGCTTCCTTCTGCCTGTTACATACATTTGCACAAATACATTATACCCTGTTTACCCATTTTTAATGGGTGCAGGCTATAATAAAAATGAAGCATATTTGCCAAATGAACTCACAGACATTTTTTGCATTGAATTGACTTTCTGCTCTTTAATTGTCCTTTGAGCAAAATTATATTTTAATCAATACAAATTAAGATAAACGATATGCCAAATTCCATTCAGATTCAGAGCCAGATTCAGTTGAGTAATTAACGGAGCTCCCTTGAACTGATTTCAGTACGGAGCTCACTCGTCGAATTTTTCAAATATTTTGATTGATGAGCGGCGGCTGCTTCAATCTTGGCTGTAGCTTAATTAAATTTTCATTCTGCCACAGCGAATTTGTAGCATACTTTTTGACGTTGAAGAGAACTTCATAATTTTTATGTTTGTGAATTTTTCAATAAAAATTGCCCTTGCTGCGGCCCCGAAATGTATGCTATGGTATTTTATAGTATATTTTAATGCATATACCTTAACTTAAACTTTAAAATAAATGATTAAGAACCATAAAAATACCGAATGGGTATTACCTACCTTTCGGCTTTCTGTTTTTCTTCTTCCCGCGCCATTAAAAATTATATATAATTTGCATATTATCAATCGGATGAAAGACATAAAAGTGCAAACAATTTACGCGCATGGCGGACTCTTAAAAAATATAACACGTGTTCATTCTTTGGCAATGAGCACATAACTTTCGCTGAAAACAAACTTGTACTCATACTTTCCATACAAGAGGGTGGAATGTTCGGAAAAGCGTGATTTTCGGTTGGGATTTGCCGAAAAGTGTGGAACAGTTGCCAAATTAATTTACACAAATACCGTTTTCCCCGCATTTTCCACCTTTACTTGTAGAATTTCACAAATTACATCGCATAGTGCAATTATAATACAAATTGGTTGGTCAAGTCACAAGAATCAGTTTTATATATTGAGATTAAAGAAAGAAGTACATAAATAAAATGATAAAACTCCAGATGCTTTTTTTTTCTAGTAATTTGACTATAATAAAAAATAATTATATTTCATATAATTCCATATATTTTGTATTTTTTGTATATATAGATATCTCTCATATATACTACAAAAAATAAAAGTATGTTTAATATAAAATTTCTTATGCGTAACCTTAACTCCGGGCAAACTCTTTGCTGCTGTTCATAGAATGTGTGTGTGTGTGTGTTTGTGTGCGTGTGTGCGTGTATGTGTGTGTTTATGTCTATCTGAGTGAAGGTTAAGCCCGAAGCCCCAGCATAAGTTCACATAAATATAAAAGTTATTTTAGTTTAGTTACGATATTCGTTTTTTTGTTTTTGTTTTTGCAATAAACATTATTGTCATAATGCTAAAAGACAGCTACAATCAAGAAAAACAATGCGAAATCAATGTGAGCACACAAACCAAAACACACTCACACGCACACGTTTATGTTTATGTGTGTGTGTGTGTGTGTGTGTGTTGTTGCTGTGCGATAAAAGTTGACTCGTGCCAGTTTGGAGCAGTAACCAAATAAACCAAAAGAAAAAAAAAAATAAAACAGAAAACGCATACAAAACAATGTGAATGTGAAATGCGAAAATACCAAAAACAACAATCAACAACCACTGCCGTTAGCGCCAGAAGCAGCACCAACCTATCCCGTGCCCGCCAAACCCAATAACAACAACAGCAATAATAAAAAAAAAAAGAAGCCAGAACCATAAATTTATCATTACATACCAGCAGCTAGCAGCAGCAGCAGCGGCGGCAGCGGCAGCGGCAGCAACTACCTCAACACTGCAGCACGTCAAATATTACGCCAGCGCGCCCACAGCAAAACACACGCCCACTAAGGTGGGCAACAGCAGCAGCAGCAGCAGCAGCAGCAGCAGCAGCAGCAGCGGCAGCAGCAGCAATGAAGCCGGTGACGCAACGGTTCTTCGGGAATCATGCATATGCTAAAGCATGCAGGGGGCTTATGTTTGTGTGTGTGTGTGTGTGTGTGTGTGTGATTTCTGTTGCAGGGACTGCGCGGGGGGCTGGGGCAACAGAGCAACGACAAGCGACGACGCGTTGCTTTGACTGACAGCGAGACTCCGGACTCTGCTGGCTGCCTGCTGCTGCTTTGGCATGCACTCGACGATGCCGGGGCTTCGTTGCTTTGGCCATACAGCAGGGCGAGCAGGCTAGTGGTGGGGAGGGCTTCATACGTGTAAAAATTGGGCATGGCAAAAGGAGCCCGACCGGGGCACGAGCAAAACGAAGCAAAACCCGAAGCGTCAGTACACGGCGCTGTCGGTGGGTGGGTATTTGGTTGGCTGGTTGGTTGTTCGGTTGGTTGGCGGGTGAATGCGCGCTGCCAGCGTCGGCAGCGACGTTGCTGTGTTGTCGTTTGCTACGTGTATACACGCGGTGCCGAGCAACAAATTGAGTCAGTATCGCACAAACAACACTAACGGAAGCATCAACGTGCAAAGCAAAGACGGACAGACGCTTTCTGTCTCGACTGGTCTCACTGTGCGTCTGCCTGCGAGTGTCTGAGTGTGTGTGTTTGTGTGCGTGTGTGTTTCTGTTTGTGTGTGCGTGCAAGTGTGTTTGTGTGTGTGTGTGTGATGCGACTTTTGCCATTGCCATTTGGACAAGCGTCCCTGCTGTTGTAGTCGGCGCAGCAGCAACAAACAATAAGCAACAGCAACAACAGCAAATGGAATAGAAGTGTACCACAGAAAAGAACAGTAAAAAAAAAACAACAACAACACACAGACAACATTGCAACTGTACAATCGTATAAATAGAAAAAAGCATAAAGCAAACAGCAAAGAAAACAAGTTGAAAGCAAGCGGCAAACTTCGCCGTTATTTTTTTTTTAATTTTTTGTGGTTTACCCTTTTTTTTTGGATCTTTTAACGTTCGTTAAGCGTCGCGTGGTCAGCTGTATACGATAAATACATCTACATATGTATATTGCATACAACAAATGCAATATATCAATTTTTTTTTCCTGTTCATAGTTGAAACATATTTGAGCGAAAGAGTTGAAAATAAATAGAAAATCGGCGTCCAAATGCGGCGACGTGATATGTGCATACAACAACAGCAGCAGCAGTAGCAGTAGCAGTAGCAGTAGCAGCAGCAGCAGCAGCAGCAGCAGCAGCTCCATGTTGCAGTTGCCATAGCTACATATATAGCACGCAAAATCTGTTCTATCAGCTTACACATGCTCATGCTTCAGTGGCAATATGTACGAGCAGCAGCTACAGCAGCAACAGCAACAACAACAGCAGCAGCAGCAGCAGCAGCAGCAACAACATTTGTGACAGCCGCGTGCCAAAAATTGCCGATTTTAACAAGCAAATTGCAACAGCGACAGCAGCAACTATTGCTAACTAAAGCAACAACAACGACAACAACAGCAACAACAATAACAGCAGCAGCAGCAGCAACAACAACAACGAATATTGCAACCAGGCGCCGCAAACTAACAAAGTGAGTACCGTTAACAACACACTAACACACTAACACACACACACATACCCATATACTTATATATATATATATATATTTATATACATATATTTATGCATTATGTATGCAACTGCAACCAAGTGGAAACAACAGCAACATCAACAAACTCATGCAGTCGCCTGTTAAGTGCCAGAGCCAAGCGCGTTTTCTAAATGAGTTATGTACTCATGTACTCATCTATGTACTCATGCACTCATGGTACCCATGGTGCCCAGAGTACCCTATGGTGCTCGTGGTGCTCGTGGTACTCGTGCTTGAGCTTGTGGTACTCGTATACTACTCATGTATTTGGCACTCGTCGTTTGCATTTTGGGGGGCATTGGCATTTTCACAGCGCCATGCAGAAAAGATTGTGGCATGCAAAACCGTTAACCACAATGCCACAAACACAATATACAATTCCAGGCAAAAAGCATTCAACCAAAATTCCCAACCCACAAAACCCGCCCACCGCATCGCAACGGCAAGTGCCTGGCAATCTGGACAGAAAGCTTTTCGTGTCAGCCACAGATCCTGGGCGAGTGTTGTGCTAAGCTTAAGCTAGCTTATAGCCAATGCGATAACACCCACACGCACACCCACACGCACACACACACACACACGCACACACACACGCACACACACAGAAATTAAATCATAGACTTAATAGACCTCCACTAGTATTTACCATTGTGGTATTGTTTTATTATGCCAAAATACAAAGCATTTAATGCGGCACGTACGAGGCGTATTCACTGTATCTTCATTTTAAAACAATATGCAAAGTTCTTTTCAATAGCTCTTAAGTTAGTTAAAAGTTTAAGTTGTAGCTGAAAGTTACTTGCAAACTTTTCTTCTGACTATTGCCAACTTTTCCTCGAACACATTTGCAAATGGCTTTTTAATGTTGGCTATAAGCATGGCTGCCAGGCCCAACAAACATTTGCCCTTTGGTTTGGTTCATGGCTCAAACTAACGCCTTGCGGTTCAATTCGTGAAACTAGTTTTCTGCAACTAAGAACCTAGATTCAGGTTCGCCATTTTTACATCCAAAAAAGATAGTTTAAGGTTTAAGACTAAAGGCAAATATAAATATTGGCATTCCAGACGTAGCCCGGATCGGTTCAAAAACCGTTAGTACCCCTGGTTTTAGCGGTTTTTGCAATCATATTTCCCATTAGTTTTCTATAAGAGCTAGTTCCGAAACTCCTAGTCGAGTTTTGTTACAAGCTTCTTTAGCATGATGTTTAGCTGGAAATTCGTTTTGACATCCTTTATAAATAGTAAAATATTTAACAGCAACTTAGAATTAGAGTGTATGTGTTCTACGCTCAGATTCAATTTCAACAAATCCCTAAACATTTATGCTATTGCAAGCAGCTCTTAAATTTAACCGTCACCTAAACATGTCGTTTTTTGGCAGTATTCTATTCCGTTTCACATTTATCTAGAAGATGACATTACAATTATCGACATAACCTTTACATAAGATTTCGCGATCCCATTAAATTTAACAGCCGCTTTAACATTGAGCGGTAAGCAAACTTTTTAACTACCTTATAGATAAATATTTGTCCAAATTGCCTTGACATAAGCCCTCGCGCTCCTATTTAATTTAACAGCCGCTTTAACATGTTGTTTAACTTAATATTAAGCAGACTTTTTATCTGCCTATATTTGGCAAAAAGTTAGCTGTTTTGATATGTTTTGCTCATATGGCAGCGCCATTTTATGGATTGACTTTTTCAAGCAATTTTTATTATTATTACTCAGCATATACTTTCAAGATTCAGATGATCTTTAATCTTTCCACAACTGTTCAAAATGACTTTGTTTTCAATTTTCGGATGAAAACATATTAAAAACTTAAGAGCCCGATACAATTATAAATATTTCAATTCATATATGAAACACATCAAAACAACAATTTTTTCTATCATTTTGTTGAGTTAATAGAACAAATTCGGTGTAAACAAAGTCAAATGTTGGATTTTTTGTTACGTTTTTATGATGCTTTGCTGCCTTTTCTAATTTTGGATAAATCAATCATATTAATAGTTTTTGGTCTGAACATTTTTGTTTATATCGTTTATCAAAATTCGAAAATAATTTTTCAAATTATGCGATATTGAAATAAATTATTAGCGTGATGATTTAACGGCAACATAGGTAAATGTTAATGCATAAATTTTATACAAGTTTTGACAACATGTTAAAATTGCTGCTAATGCAAAGATTAATATGAATGCCATGTGTATTTATGATATAGTAGTAGATAAAGTAAATAATCAGACTGAATTTGGAGCCAACAAGTTTCACTTTCCTCTCAATATGTTCTCTTTAGAGCAACGCTGTTGATTAACAACCAATGTTCGCCTGTTACTAAAAACAGGCATTACATATCGCTAACTGCGTGCAAATGTTATTAACAGTAACGGCATTTGGCTAACAGCTTTTGCAAATTTTTCAAAAAGTTTCACTTTGATCTCAAAATGTTATCTGTAGAGCAACGAGTTACTGTTAGTTAACAGCCAATGTTCGCCTGTTACTAAAACAGCCAGTACATATCGCTAACATGCGTGCAAATGTTATTAACGTTAACGACTTTTAGCTAACAGTTTTTGGCATTGTTAAGCATGAATTACTTCTCTCTGCTCAACGGACCCCATCGAGAAACGAAAGTACATTAAGTTTTTATTACATCTGTAATAAATTTGTGCAAAAATTTCGGATCCGTTAAATTCGTGCAAATTCGCTTTCATTTTCGGCGCATGCAATGCAGCAGAATGTACTCGATCTTAATTCCAATTCGGTGCCCCAGCCCCGCGCTGCTGTTCGTGCGCCCAGTTGGAGTCCCAGTCGCAGATATATAAATATATATGTATATATATACATATCTAAATATATATATGAATTTACTATATATTGACGCTCTCATCGGAATGCACTTGTATGCGCGTTGTATCTGAAATATATGTCTGCGTTTCAGGAATTTGCCATAAATAGCACCCGGCGAGCTGTTTTTTAATGTGCAGCCAAAGTTTCTCCCAGTCTCCCGGTGCTCGGGCCATAGCTCTATATCTAAATCTGTCTCTGTCTACGGAGACTGCACATAGCCAATGCGTTTTCGGAAATGTCTCCCAGCTATACAGATATAACCCATCTGCATGCCTCAATTAACAGAGGAGTTCATTTTTATGGTCTCTTTGGGCATTTTAAGTAGTTTTTTATTTTTTTGTTTTATGGATTGCATATTTATGTAGTCTCATTTGGAAATCATTTTAACACCCTCAACGCATTGAAAGTGGATGTATGAGGGTATAATAGTTGAGTGCAAGTGATTGTTAAGGGCGCAACTAGAAGCTTCCTTGGAACATGATTTTTTCGGCATAACTCGAGAATTATTAAAGCTAGTTAAGCTCAACTTGGCTTGTAGGTTCTGTTATTGTATATACAGCTTAAAATTTGTTCACTTTTTCGATACTTTCACGTATTCCTGCCGAATTGCAAAAAGAACTAATTTTGAAAGTTGAAGCCTTGGGATTTGGTATACGCACACTTTGTTATGCCATATTTAATACCTGAAAATTGCATATTAATCGGACAATGAACAATGAAAATCACTAAGAACGCATTTTCTCTAGTGTGGGGTTAGGAGAGAAGCAGAAGCACGGTCAAACAGGGCATCTCTCAGTCGAGCTTTCTTTGTTATTTTTTCTATGTTTTGCTTCAGTCTGTTAAGTTGGGCATCGTGTAAATTGAATTGTATTTTATTTACACTGAAGTCATCTTTGAATTTTTAATGGGCGTTTGGTTAATGACCAGAAAAGCGCAATTAATGCAAACTGTAATCAATCATTCGCTCCAATTAACCCCAAACATCTTGTCTCTTCACTCTCTTCCCATCTCTTTCTCTCTCTCTACCTCTCTCTTAGTTTCCGTGCCTGTCTCTTTCTTGGTTAATGTGATGTAGCATATGCCGTTCTTCTTGACCAATGCGTCGACCGATTGCACGTTCTGGTATAGATTTCAAAACTCATTATGATACTCTACGCCCTGGCGGGGCATATTGACAAAGTGCTTGGCAAAGTATTTGTCCGCACAAAACCAATGCAAATCCTGTTTTAATGCCCTTCGAATTAGTCGGTTTATTTTAAATGTCTCTAATCCCGCGCACTTTGATTTAATTAAAACGAAACAAAAGGGAAAAGTTTTGATTGCTGAATTAATTGAAATGCTTTTGCTTCGTCGGTTTTATGCGATAAATTCAAATGTTAAATAAAATTTGCCAAAGACCAAGATTTCAAATCCATTTAACATGATTAAAGTGGCTGATGGGTGCAAAAGCATGTAACAGGCAGAAGGAAGCATTTTCGAGCCCGTTAATTGTGTAAATACATAAAGCAAGCATCTGGGAACCCATATAGTATATATACTATATATTCTTGGCCGGCATCGAAAGTCGTGTCCGTCTGTTTGTCGTTTCTTATGAATGTTTCGAGCTCGCAAACTCAAAGAGCTCTTTTGTTGAAGCTTGACATACATATATATATATGTATATAATATAATATAGTATAGTTATAGACAGATCAAGTTTACAATTGTTCCTCGACTTCTTTTCTTTTTCTGCAAAGCTCGAAGATTTTAAGAGCTAAGGACATATTCGGCCTGTAGCTTCTACTTTATTATAAGCAAATTGGAAGCATTTTTTGCCTTGTCTCCCCCAGTTCTCCCTAAACTTGAAAACTCATTTCTAAAGCTAAATTCTGCTGCTTTGCTTTATATACTTAAGCCCCGAAAATTTCATAAAGATCAGACGATGAGCACCGGAGTTATTCAAGAATCCATTTTCCGCATATCTTGGGTACGATGAAAAAAAGGAGCACAGCTGTAAAGTTCGCTCTTTGAGATGCGAATGTATGTATTGGTGTGTGCGTGAATGTGTGTGTGTGATCTTGGGTATGGAAGAAACTTCGAATTTT